CTAAATGGGGGATGTGTGTGGACTTTTGTTCCACACAATAGGGACTCACAATTAATGAAGAGATTGGCTTTGATACGTGACATGATTGTCTCTAAATTCTCTTCTATAGCCGAGACCACTACATACCTTGAAAAGATGACTTTTAATGCTAAATTATCTTCTTCCAAGGTATATGACCTTCTTAGACTTAAAGCCACACCACATGCGTGGATGTCTTTCATTTGGAAGGCTTACATCCCTCAAAAATTCTCATTTATAATGTGGCTCGCATTTCGGAATAGGCTGCCAACGTATGATAACATGCTATATCTTGATGTTGCTAATGTATGTCCATTTTGTAAGGGTGAACCGGAGACGGTACCACACCTATATTTTGATTGTACATGTACATGGCAGCTTTGGAATAATGTCAAAGATTGGCTTGGCATTTCAATACAAATGTCATCCTTGAAGAGCGTTGTAAAGTGGATCCAAAGGGAGTGCAAAGGAGCGCATATTAGAGCCAAGGCAACAAGAATAGCTTTTAGCTACACTATATATTGGATATGACGAACTCGAAATGCAATTCGTTTTGATGGTGCGGCCTTGAAGTTGGATGAGATGTTTACACATATCAAGTATATGGTGTACAAAGTTCTCTATTCTCTCTATCCATACCACATGATGAATTTTTGAAAATTTTGTCACGGCTTGATGGCTGGCTGTTTTGCTACGTTTCTTTTGGCTAGATTTTTAATCTAGAGGTTTTGCTAGTATAGCAATTGATGTATAGGATATCCATACTTGGATATGCCTCTAATTTTGCCACGATGTACATAACTTTTGGTCACTACATATATATTTACATTTCACCCAAAAAAAATTATGAGAACCTATACATATGGAAAATTGAGCTACGGTTGTTGACTATCCATATTAAATAATTGTGACTTTTACAATTCTACCCTTAGTGCTAGAACCGTTCCTGTTATGATAATAATAGCCATTCAAAGATCAACATAATTACCATGATACCACAATCAATTTGCATTCAATCGTAGCCTTTGGTTTAATATATTTGATGGATGAATTTCATTCTCATTTCTCTCCTAAGAGACCATTCTCACCCGAGTCTTCCCCTATATATATATATATATATATATATATATATATATATATATATATATATATATATATATATATATATATATATATATATATATATATATAGGAGTGAGATCACATACAAACCATGCTTAACTTACTAACCTACAAACTCAATAATATGCAACATTTCGAACTTCAATATGCAGTACAAATAATGTAAAGATGCAGGGTGACATCACATACAACCTGGATTTTTTTTTGACGCGGTGGCATTTTCGTAATTAAGATGGAGAGCTTTATAAGTTATGATTTATTAGTTATAAGTTCCTATATTCAGTCTATAAGTTGGCTGCGTTGTAAGATTAGATGCAAATCCAAGGGCTGAGATTAGTTCTCACTTCTCATCTTAAGGAGAACTTCTCACCTGATCTTTTCTCTCTCTCTCTCTCTCTCTCTATATATATATATATATATAGGGTAAGGATCAAATGATAATACCATCTTAGGGGAGAAATGAGAATGATTCTGGAGCGTTGGATTTGAGCATTGTGCATCATGTAAAACAGAAACGTGCATACAAAAAATTGGATAATGTGCATTTCGTGTGTGCAAAATTTTAAACGTAAATGTGCACATTAGAATTTTGCATTACTTTTACTATAAATGTGCAGTTTTGTGAAAGATAAAGTGCATCGTTTTGGAGTGTTCTCATCTCTCACGTTAAGGAGTGTTCTCACCGGAACCGCACCATATATATATAGGGAGCGGCTCAGCTGAGAAGTGCCCTTAGGCTGAGAAGCTGCGAAGTCTAACTTATAAGAAAAAAACACGAACTTTTAACCAAAAAATCATAACTTATAGACCCCCTCAAAAACACGAACTTTCTGCAAAATTTTTTTCTAGGTTTCTTATAAGTTAGACTTCGCAACTTCTCAGCCTAAGGAGGACTTCTCACATGATCTTCTCTCTCTCTCTCTCTCTCTCTCTCTCTCTCTCTCTCTCTCTCTCTCTCTCCCTATATATATATATATAGGGGAGGGTTCTAGTGAGAATCACTCCTAAAATGAGAACTCTGTATAATGAGAACCTTTAATCTCAACCTTTCATTTATTGTAATCATTGGTTATGATTCACATGGGGTGATATTCACAATTACTCCAAAATAATTACGAAAATGCCACTGCAAAAAAATAATGACGGAAACCTTGAATTTTTTTCGACGTGATGGCATTTTCATAATTATTATGGAGAGCTTTATAAGTTATGATTTAATATTGGTGGAATTTTATCAATTCAGGACCTGAAATATAGATGAATTATCAATCCGGGACCTGAAAGATGATAGGTATCAGTATAGGACCTGAATGATGAAAAACTATCATTATAGGACCTGAATGATTTAAAATTATTGATCTAAGACCTAAGTTGTCATGGGTTTTATTAATTTTTTTATTTTGAAAATTTTAAATATCATTTAGTTTTAATAAACTAATAAAGTTTTGTAAAGATAAGTTTATAAAAAACTTGCAATGGAATTAATAAGTAATTAAATAAATCATAACCTATGAAATGTTAGGTCCTAGATTGATAGTTTTCCATCATTCGGGTCCTATACCGATACAAATCATCTTTCAGGTCCCGGATTGATAATTCATCTATCTTTCGGATCATGAATTGATAAAATTCCATTATTGGTTATAAGTTCCTATATTTAGTCTATAAATTTACTGCGTTGTAAGATTAGTTCTCACTTCTCATTTGAGCGACACTTCTCACATGATCTTTATATATATATATATATATATATATATATATATATATATATATATATATATATATATTAGATTTGCTTTAAGTGAAATTCAATGTGCATTAGATGAAACCGTAATGTGCATTAGGTGAAATTGAAATGTGCAACACAAATGGTACGATACAGTGACATTATGTGAAGCTGAATTGGGCATTAGGTGAAACTGAAATGTGCACTAGGTGAAACTGAAATGTGCAGAATAAAAGGTACGATGTGATGTTATTTTTGTACCTTTTATTCCGCACATTTCAGTTTCACCTAATGCACATTTGGGTTTAAATTTTTATTCTGCGCATTTCAATATCATCTGACGCACATTTCAATTTCACCAAGTGCACAATCCAGATCGACATAAAACAATCCAACGGTCCAGATTCATTCTCATTTCTCTCCTGGGAGTCCGTTCTTACCGAAACCGCTTCCTATATATATATATATATATATATATATATGTTTTGGTTCAAATAAGAACATGATCTTAGGAGAGAAATGAGAACGAATCTGGACCATTAGATTTGCTTTAAGTGAAATTCAATGTGCATTAGATGAAACTGTAATGTGCATTAGGTGAAATTGAAATGTGCAACACAATGTGTGACACCGCACCCGAACGTCCTAGAAATTCAAATTTAATTTCAAAGCTTATGTATTGAATTCTCCTATTTTCGAACAATTGTAAAACGATTAAAGTTTTACGGAACGTATGATTTATCATATTACTATTTGGACTCATACAATGGTAACGGGCTTCTAAATAATTAATTGGGCCATATCATTGATATTGGGGCCCAACATCCTTAAATAAAGATATACAACCCATCGGTACAATGTAAGAGCGGTCGGGCAGCCCAAATGTTATTTTGGGCCTAACCTGCTAAAAATAGTAATTATTCTAGAATGTCATCCTAGACCCATTGAAGGGTGACCCACACGGTTTGTAGCCTATATATATACTCCCTCCGTCCCTATATAAAAGTATCCATTCTTTTTTCACACATTTTAAGAAAGTGGGTTTGGTTGGTACTGTTTGGACACTGTTTGACATTGTTTTGCACTGTTTTGTTTGCCAAAAAAGGAAAGGAAACTTTTATTTAGGCACGGCCCGAAAAGAAAACAAATGCTTTTATTTAGGGACGGAGGGAGTATATATATATATATATATATATATATATATATATATATATATATATATATATATATATATATATATATATATATATATATATATATATATATATATATATATATATATATATCAGAGATCAAATACAAACCATGCTTAAAATACTAACCTACAAACTCCATAATGTGCATAACTTTGAACTTCAATATGTAGTAAAAATAATGTAAAGATGCAAGGGTGAGATCACATACAAACTAGTCCTCCCATTCAAATCATCTTTGCATTATTTGTATTGCACATTGAAGTTCAAAGTGTTTCATATTATTCATGCCATAAAATAGCAATTTCATGTTTACATTATTTGTATTGCATATTGAAATTCAAAGAGTGCATCTTTACATTATTTGTACTGCATATTAAAGTTCAAAGTGTTGCATATTATTGAGTTTGTAGGTTAGTAAGTTAAGCATGGTTTGTATATGATCTCACCCCTATATATATATATATATATATATATATATATATATATATATATATATATATATATATATATATATATATATATATATAGGGGATGATTCAAATAAAAAGAGGTCTTAACGTGCAAAGTGAAAAGTTTACACTTTTTCATGTTTCGCCTGCACTTTTTCTTGCTTTCATTGCACTTTTTCGCGATAGCTCAAAAAATTGATTTATTACAAAACTGCCACCGTCATTTTGGCCGAATTTGGCCAAATCAAAATGGGCTAAAAGTGCAACGCAAACAACAAAAAGTGCAACCGAAACATGAAAAAGTGAAAACTTTGCACTTTGCACGGGAAGACCACTTTTCATTTGAACTCTTCCCTATATATATATATATATATATATATATATATATATATATATATATATATATATATTTATATATTAATATACATATTAACATCGTAAATAAATGATGGAATGATTGGAGAAGAATACAAATGCCTATGGTCCCATCTTTGGCATTATTAGGCTAAATAATGGGAGTAGGGTTTTCTTTTGTAATTGTACATCAAATAAATTATTGGGACCATCCTACACATATTAGAGACCAATAATATGAAGTAGGAGGTTGACTTGATCTGAATAATTTGGGGAGAGTAGAAAAGTACATCTTATGACAAAGGACAAAAATGATAGGACCCATCTTTCCACTCTTGGATGTATTGGTAGATATTTTGTTCCCAAATTAATTAGGGGACATGAGAGTACGCCCCACACCTTCCTAGCACCTGCAAAACAGGTAGGATAAGTTAGAACACATAAATGGGGCGGACCTATTGAGTTGAGAGCCCAAACAATACAAAAGAGAAATAAAAGAGGAGGACCATCCCATGTTTGATTGGAATCAAACACCCAACCTTTTATTTTTGGGAGCCACACGTTTAGATAACGTTTTGAGAGCATCCAGATATCTTCCCCTCACCCCTCATTCGAACTCAAGAGATAAGGGGAAGAGAAGAGCCGCACAAGAGAAAGAAAGCAAGAGAGGGAGAAGATTCTGGCCGCAGGGAGAACTTCCAGTGCGCTGGCCTTCTTTTTCGACTTATATCTCGAGTTTTGCTCATCCAAAAGAGACGTGTGAGGTGCCCGCTGAAACCTCTCGAAAAGAGGAATCCATAGGCGTGCGGTTTGAAGAAAACGGAGCAGTGTAAGGCTTCTAAATCGTCCGAACGAAACGCAACCTCGCAGAATACGATTTTGTATTCAAAGTAAGTTTGAATCCAAAACCTTCCTTTCTATTGTCTAAATCGTATAAATGATTGATGAGCTATTGTACACTGGTTGAGGTTTATAAAGTGTTGTTATAAAGTTATTTATTTTTTGGAAAGGTTAGATACTAACCTAGAACAAACCTTGAAAGGTTAGGAAACGTTTTCGCCGGAAAACACCCATTCTAGGGGCTGTTTTTGTATCATTGGATAAGTGTTGAACTAGCACCTTGAGGAGGCTGTCTAAACATCAATTCTAATAAAGGAATCAGTTCTCAAACTTCCTTGGCCGAAGCTTTGAGCATTGGATTAAAAAGGAAAGGTTTAAAGCTCATTTGAGGTGAGGATCGACATCTAGTTGCTTACAACTTGTAGGTTAAGCATGAGATTACCTAAATGCCTAAATCATGTTTTTCATGGATTATAATGACTGATTATTGTTGAAATATTGATATATTGGATAAGTAATGAAATTGTAAATTATTTGGAAATCATATTGATAAAAATGGAGTTAAATGAACTATTGTGTGAAATAGGCATTTTTACTCATGTGTGAATTGTGTAAATACATAAATGATTATTTGTGTATTACATTGGGTGACTAAGTTGCTGCTACATATTTCTAAATATGTAGGGATTTACAAATGAAACATATGATTGATGGGAATAATCTTAATAGTATTGGAATACTAGTTAATGATTGTTTGTAATTGTTAAGAAATTGAATCTAAGGATTTGATTGTAAGTGATATACTTGATTGTGGTTCAAGTGAGTAAATTGTTGTAATGTGATGCTAAGATCATGATAAGGCAGTCCGTAAGGATATCCCGAAATAGATTATTGATATTACAATTCTAGGCATAGCGAGTGCTTAGGAATTGGGGTCTATGCCAATGCAAGGAGATGTACTTGAGCCCGATGCTCTAGAATTGCATTGGGTAGACATAAGGATTAGGTTCAGCCCATGTAAGGAGATGTACTTGAGCCGAGCTCTAGAATTGCATGGGTGAACATGACGTTGGAGATTGGTGGAGTAATTAACTTGTGATTGATATGCATGGTGATGTAGTCGAGTTGGACTCGAGAAATGCAAACATGTGTGTTAGGGTTGAACCCTATGTATTGTCGTGACTAGGGGTCACAGGGTTTGGTCTATGTTTTGAAAACGAACTTTGGGCCATGGTTCGACTACTTGACTTTATATATAAAGTAAGTATATTTTAAAAAGGGGTAACTTGGGGTTACGACCTAGATTTATATTATCACCCTATTTGAGGGTCTTGTGTTTGAAATATTTGTTGTATACCTATTAGATGCCATCCACACCAGTACTTTATAGCCGTATAGAGTACTGACCCCCTTTCGGGGGGGGGGGGGGGGGGGCGTCCCACCACCATTTCAGGTTAAGGCTAGAGCTTGCTACCTGTGCTTGTTGATCGGGCGATCATCTCGGAGGGGAAGACTTGGTTCGTGCTTCCTCCATTCCGATTTTAAACATTTTAAACCATGCTCATGGATATTGTTTTTCATTATGGAGCCTGCGTGCTCGTGTTTGCCCCGTGTGGCACTTGTATCCAAACTGTGATTTCCGCTGCATATTCAATTACTTATTATGTATGTTTATGGATGACTTATGTGTGAATGATATTCGAGACGCCTCGTATGATATGGATGAGTTGGACTGCGGTTGACTATTCATATTGTACGGCGGGTTGTTGACGTGTCCGGATAGGTCCGGGGCGTGACAATTTAATTGGTATCAGAGCCTTAGTCCATAAACTTCATAATGAAGACTCAAAAATTCTTTTTTCCTAGTGATTTTGAAAACCATGAGCATAAATGTTTAGTATTATAGAACTTTTGGTACTTGAGCTGCAAGGCCTCTAATTGTTAAGATGATACCCTTAGCAATTGGTATGGCGGCAATTCGAGCCAAGTAGTGTCTTAAGTACCTATCCGTCAATTGACATTTGATACGAGTCTAATGACTCCTTCCAAAAATTTCTTTCAGAAATGGACGGTGGTGGCAAGGTTACGAGAAGGAACCCGACGGGCCGTGCACCGGTGGGGACCGGGCAGGGGAGCCGTGGGGCCTCTATAGTGTCTAGAGGGGCGAGCCGTGGAGGCTGATCGCACTCTGTGAGGGACGGCCATGTTGACACCGAGGATGAAACCTATGAGGACTCGACTTACCAGCCGGAGATCGAGCCGGTTGAGACCCCTTACGAAGGGGATGACGATGATATGAGTGATGAAGATGGGGAGAATGACTCCCTAGCAAGAATTGAGGCGCTGCTCCAGCAATACCAGCGGGAGCGTGAAGAGAGGAGAGAATGCCGAAGGCGCCGAGGAGCGCAAACTTCGGGTAGCGCTTCAAGAGGGAGAAGCCATGGTGACTTTAGGGCCCACATTGAACGACATGGGGGCCGGAGTGATGGAGGTCCAATCATAAGGATCTCAAAATTTCTCAAGGAGACGAGGGACTTGGGGTGCAAACCCTTCAATGGAACGAGTGACATCTCGGTCGCCGCGGAATGGATCAAGAGGCTGAACGAAGCAGCCCTTGATATGCAGCTCACCCCCGAGTTTAAACTCAGGATGGCGGTGAGATTGCTTGAAGGGATGGCGTCCACATGGTGGGACGGGGCCAAGGGCAAGTATGACAGGACCCTGACTTGGGAGAATTTCTAACAGGAGTTCTTTGCCCAATACTATTCTGATTTTGAGGTGAACCCTAAGAGGAGAGAGTATACCCTCTTGACCCAGGGTGGCAAAATGACGGTGAGGCAACTTGAACACAAATTCAGGGAGCTCGCGGAGTTCATACCAGAGTATGTCTGTGATGAGAACCGAATGGTTAACCATTTCTGGGATGCCCTAGATTTGGAAATACGTGAGAGGGCAACACAATTGCCCAACATGACCTTCAGCCAAGTAGTTGAACAAGGGTTGAAGGGAGAGAAGGAATGGGAAGAAAGAAAGATGAAAAATGCTGAAGAGGCGAAGAAGAGAAAGTGGTGTAAGGAATAAATGTATTTAGATTTTGATGATGCTAGGTTAATTAGAATTTGGAAGTACCCCATTAGAAATTTTGTATTAGAATTTCTTTTGTAAGTTTTAGCTTAGTCTGTCTGCCAGAGAACCGCTTTGCTTCTACCAGAGTTGCTCCCAGAGTTGCTCACCAGAGAAGCCATCAGAAACTGGTCATCATAAAGATACCAGAGTTGGCAACAGAGGCGGACTTCAGAGATTGGACCAGAGAGCCTCTTAAGACTCTGCTAAACACACCAGATTCCGGAAGCACTTTCCAACGATCGTTAAACTAACGGGAAATCCCCTAACGGTTACGAACCTTTCAACGGAAACATGGTACTGTACACGCATTAAATGCACATTTAATGCTGTACGTACGAAGAGATATTTAAAGCTGATGATTGACCATGCGAGTATCTTCACGCCCCCAAAATAGCAAGTCGAAGGTCCAACCGGTCAAGTCAACAGTACATGCATTTCATGAAGCTGTCTTCTACACTCCAACGGGAAGACTGCTCCCAGTATATAAGATACATTCTGAAGAACTAAGAGGATAACTTTGCGTAAAAGAACTTTGCTACAATATCTGCCAAACGAACTTGCTCAAAGGCTTCTTGAGATTCAAACTGCATCCTTAACAAGAAAAGGCTATAGTTGGAAGATAGATTTTCTAATCCCTTATCCAACTAGCAAAGCTGCAAAGTTACTCAGTTCTTCAACACTTCGAAAGCTTCATCTAATCATCCTTTGTGAAGAAGTAACGTTGGAGAAAACTGATTTTATATCAAACACTTCTTGAAAAAGAAGGGACGTCTCAAACTAGCTGGAGTAAGTGCAGTGGGGATACTTCAAGAGACTCAGTGAAACGAGACCAGCCATCAGGAAGCAGGATTGCATCCCGGGTGGCAACTAGACTTGAAGAAGACGAGGAGTGCTTCTTAAGTTCTAGGGACTAAGGCGTTGTAAACAGTTGTTTTTGCAAGCTTAGTGGAACAGTGGACTAGAGGAACAAGTTGTTCCTTGAACCACTATAAAAACCCCGGTGTCATTTACTTTGAGCTTTTAATTCCTGCACTTTCTACTGATTAACTCTTAAGGTTGGACTCTGTGTCCAGCAGATCTTCCTTCTGAGTTATCAGAAAGGCACTTTGCCTTGGCTTTTCTCTTGAGGCTACCCGGACAGAAACTTATCCGCTGCCTGGTCTAGTTCTGCCATCAGAACTTGACCATCTCTGTCACCAGATTTCGACCATCTCTGATAAGTCAGACTTGACTTAGAGAAAAGTTTAAATCCCTGAACAGTCTATTCACCCCCCCTCTAGACTGTTCCCATTACAAACGGGACCAACAAGCGGTATCAGGGCCTCCTTGTTCTTGTAATCTTTTAGGTTACTTACTAAACAAGAGATCCACTTGTTTTAGCCTCTTTAATCTCATATTATGGATAACACTCTTTCAAAGAATCTTATGTTCTCAGTGACAAAGTTTGATGACTGGAGGATCCGCATGAAAGCTCACCTCTGCGCACTCCATGATGAAATGTGGGAAGTCCTTGATGCAGGTCCTTTCACAGAGTTCACCAAGGTCAACCCTGAATACATCACTGGTAGTGGTCAACCCCAGATGATCACCAAACTTCGTCATGAATGGTCCAACGAGGAAAGGAGGAAATACAACCTTGACAACATTGCCAAGGATATTCTCTACAAAGCCATTGATGACAAGTACTTCACAAGGATCAAGAAGTGCAAATCTGCCAAGGAAATCTGGGATACTCTTACCCTGATAGGAGCTGGAGATGAGCAAGAAAAGGACAACAAACTTACCATTGCCATGAAGAAGTTTGAAGATTTCAAACTTCTACCCAAAGAATGCATAGCTGAGATGTATGCACGCTTGCTCACCCTCACTGCTGAGATATCAGAACTTGGGAAGGAACTTACTCCCAAGGAGATCAACTTGAAGG